AGAGTCTCAGCTATTTTAAAATACCAGATACTGTGGGAAGAGGCTACGCCAAAGAAACAAACGGCGAGAGGGTGGGTGCCAGCAGCTAAGGGTCAGGGCTTTGAGACAAGGCTGAGAGATCAAGCATAAAGTATTAGTCTTTATAGTAGGAACTGCTAAGAAATTAGGTTAAAAAACGTGGAAGCCGTTCTGCACTCAACAGCAGTGAAGCCTGGGTGCTGAAATCTCGTTCCGTTTTGGGAGGCTGATGAGATGTCAGCATTGCTCCTAGCTCTTACGGGCGAGCCGGGACGCCTCATCTTCCTCGGGAGCCCGCAGTCGGGAAGAGAGCGTGGTCCAGCACGCTTTGACACGGCGTCAGAGCTGGCCCCGCTGTTGAAATGCCCCCACGGGACCCGAGCTCACCACGCGGCGGGGGGAGAAGCACATCGCCCCATGGGGAAAGCGCAAACCAGGCAGCTTCATTCTCTTAAATAAATACTACTACAATCCTCCCATATTCTTTCCATAAAGCTTCTGCTAGCATCTCCCGCAGCCTCGATTCACCTCCCCTGGGCGGTGGGGAGGTCTCAGCCACCCGGCACCATCCTCACCTTCTCGCCTGCGGTGGCTTTCCTCACGATGTGCTCCAGGCGCTGCTCGTGGTTGCGGAGAGCGGTCTGGGGCGCCACGGGCTTCGCATCTGCTTTCGCCTCTGTTTCACCAAGGCCAGTCCCAGGCTCCTGGAGGGAGAGAGGTCGGCTTGAGCGAGGAACCTTGCATCTGCAATTGCCCCTTTTCCCTCCATCTCCTGGAGAGAGGGCAGTGCCCAAGCCAAGGGAGAAAAATCCCTCAGCTGAGAGCTTCTATCTTCTATTTTCAGAGAGTTTAAAATACACACAAATGCATTTCCTACCTGGGAAGACAAGCCAGCACGGCCTATCACTGATAAAAAACTCAGCATCAGACTCTACTGCAGGAAGCCTTCGTTGGCCACCACCCCTCCAAAGCTCAGGTCCACCAGCCAGTGGGGTCCCGCGGTGGGGTCACCCCTCAGCCCCACACTCTCCCCCTTCTGCTGCCCAGGCAAGCGGGCGTATTTCCGCTGCCCTATCCCCCCGGCATCTATTGCCATCTGTTTGGTTTACAATACACCAGTGACCTGGCGAGCATTTTTCAGTATTTTCTGTCTCCCAGCAGTAACGCTGGATTACCCAAGGCAGCACTTCAAGAACATGTTTTCTGTCTCTTTGCCTTGTACTTCAAGGTCGGCACCATGCAAACACGAATCCTTCAGAGAGGTTCTTACACCACCTCTTTGCCATACACGCGCTCCCCGAGAAACACGCTCTGCTGCAAGAGGGATGCTCGCGGATTAATGAGCTCCCCGCTGCACCACGGCAGGGCTCACTGGCAAGTCATTAAAATTACACAAGCTGAAACGATGCCATTTCCGAGCCTCCCCATCTGCACGTTCCCGCTTTGGCTGGGCTCCAGGCGGAGGGTCCCTGCCGAGGGCTGCGGGAGGGGAAGGACGGGCACGGACGCTGCTGGGAGAGCTGCTTTAGGAGAAGGGAGCAATTAAAAAAGGAGCCGAGTCACAAAAACCTGACATGCCTTGGGGGGATGCTCCTC